TTATTTTCAATTTCTCAACTACTGACATGCAGGCATCTGGAGAACAACAGATTGGCAGGTCCCTTACCATCTTACTTGGGTAGTTTACCAAGTTTACAAGCACTGTATGCAGCACTTGATCATCCATGTTTATCATCTATACTTTGGGAATTTGAAGCATTTTCCTAGTACCATAATTTTACCCTTCAGACACTTATTATAATCATTCTCATCTCTGGCAGGTTCATACAGAATAACTCTTTTAGTGGGGTAATACCATCAGGTTTACTGTCAGGCAAAATCATTTTCAAGTGAGTACCCACATCAAAAACATTTCTTTTCTAGTTTTAGGTCAATTTAAGTGAAGATGCTAGACACCCAATTGAATTTGAATAAATATGGTAGGACGAGGATCCTTTTTATGCCTTTAATATCGAGATTGAAGTAACCGATATTTATTTTTTCTGCAAGCTTTGATGATAATCCTGAACTGCATAAAGGGAACAAGAAGCATTTTCAGTTGATGCTAGGAATTTCTATTGGAGTACTAGGGATTCTATTAATATTATTCTTAGCAAGTTTGGTTCTATTGCTTAATCTGCGGAGAAAAACTTCTCGACAGAAACGAGATGAAAAGGGTTAGCGCACCAAGCCGAATTTGATACTTGTAAATTGAAAAATATGAAGTTCTACCATAAAAACAATCTTGTGCCTTACAGGTATTTCTGGGCGCAGCAGTACTAAACCTTTAACTGGATACTCATTTGGTCGAGGTGGAAATTTAATGGATGAAGGTACTGCTTGCTATATTACACTCTCTGAGTTGAAAGAAGCTACTAATAATTTCTCAAAGAAAATTGGCAAAGGAAGCTTTGGATCTGTCTACTATGGGAAAATGAGTGATGGAAAAGAGGTGGCAGTTAAGACTATGACCGATCCATCAAGCTATGGGAACCAGCAATTTGTAAATGAGGTAGCATTTCCGTAATTGAATTCTGAATGAGGCTTGGTTCAGTATAGTCAGTCAATCAGTATCATTCTATAGATTTTTGGCTGCATTCATTCAAAAGGATCGTGATCCTTGAATTTCATAAACACAGCATTCTTAATGTTAAAGATACAACGATATCAATTCTCAAACAACTTAAAAATTGCACTATAAAACCTTCTCAACTCCATCTCATGTCTAACTCCAGAAGACTTACTTTCGAACATGAGTTTCCAAAATAACTGACGAGAATGAGAACAGCTTAATTTTCATCCCATTGATTGTAGAGTCACAAATGCAGGTAGCCCTCTTATCAAGAATTCATCACAGAAACTTGGTTCCTCTGATTGGATATTGTGAAGAAGAATATCAGCATATGCTGGTTTACGAGTATATGCACAATGGCACTTTAAGGGAGTACATTCACGGTCTAATTCCACACCCTGATGCTCATTTACTTACCTAGTTGTAAAAACTGTGATCTGATATAAATTATAATGCTCTGACAGAATGTTCGAACCAGAAGCAATTGGATTGGTTAGCTCGCCTTCGAATTGCAGAAGATGCAGCTAGAGGTTGATTAATGGCTAGCTTATTGGTCGCTCCACAAGTAATTTTATCTTTTCACTTCCAAGTTAACAGTTAAAGAGCCATTTTCTATTTCTGTAGGTCTTGAATACTTACACACAGGATGCAATCCAAGTATCATTCACCGTGATGTGAAGACAAGCAATATTCTCCTAGACATCAATATGAGAGCAAAAGTGTCAGATTTTGGACTTTCAAGACTCGCTGAAGAAGATTTAACACACATATCAAGTGTTGCAAGGGGAACTGTAGGTTATCTGGATCCTGAGTAAGCCATGGTTCTCACGTGTCTATGTTCAACAAAACATCATTTCTACTTAAAACACTGAGCTCAGGTTTTTTACCCCTCAACAGGTACTACGCAAATCAGCAATTGACTGAAAAAAGTGACGTGTATAGTTTTGGAGTCGTTTTGTTGGAACTGATATCAGGAAAAAAACCTGTATCCTCAGAAGACTATGGTCCTGAAATGAACATCGTTCACTGGGTATGTTATCCTTTTCTCAACAATCCAAAGTCAAAAAATAGCTTCCACAAAGTTTGCCACACCAGAAGCTGAAACATAAACATGTGCAACAATTAAATGTGATCAAGAATCAACTAGTTTTGGTTAAATACAATCCCTAACTTTAAAAAGTTTGTAGTTCTATTGGAAGAAATTGTTCTTTCAGCTGAATTAGCAAACACTTATCTGATGTGGGGTGTGTCGTATTTTCTTAGTTTACCACATGTCATAAAGTTAATCAAATTAGTACAGTAAATTCATATATAACAGTGAAAAACTTGGTCCAACGAAATTATTTCAAGGGATCAAAGTGAAAAGGTTCTGACTTGAGAGAATAAACTAAGACCAAAGAATAAGATTATGGAACAAAAGTTCATTTTAGGCATTAATTTTTGTAGAAAGTACCTCTTTGAATACTTTGATGGCAGCCCCACATGCAAATTTACGTGTTTTGCAGGTAAGATCCTTAATTCGTAAAGGAGATGTGATAAGCATTATGGACCCTTCCCTTGTGGGGAATGCCAAAACTGAATCAATTTGGAGGGTTGCTGAAATTGCTATGCAATGTGTAGAACAACACGGTGCCTACAGGCCAAAAATGCAAGAGGTCATTTTGGCCATACAAGATGCTTCTAGCATTGAAAAAGGCACAGAAAATCAACTCAAGCTATCATCTTCGAGCGGTTCAAAGCCACAGTCTTCTCGTAAGACTTTGCTTGCAAGTTTTCTAGAAATTGAGAGCCCTGATTCCTGCCTCCCCTCAGCCAGATAACTTCTCTATTTTTTCTTCACATCATGTTGAGTTTTGTACATTGTTTATCACTGTTTTCTTTTGCCTTTTGTCCATTGTCATAGTACTAATATATGTTAATACCAATAATATTGATATAACCTTCAAATCTTAGAACCAACCAAAGAAAATGTATAATTCTTTCTTATCTTTATTTGACCACTTGCTGGAATTAACAAGTTATTTGAATTTAATTTGGGTATATATGTATTCGAAAAATAAGTGATATTAATTTTTACATTAAGTAAAAAAATAATAATTAGATTAAAATTAATGTCAATTTCTTAAATAGGTTAAACTCATATTTTATTAATATTCTATCTCCACAATAATTTTATCTCAAAACAACTTTTAATAATATTAAAGACGACGATTTAATTTAGTCATAAATTTAAACAAATTTCTTTATCTAAAGTTTTCCCTTTCCTTAAAGATAGCCAAACAAAAATTTTAAAATAAGGAAGAAAAAAAAGAAATTTACTTCAGAAAATCCATAATTTAATTGTTGAAAACGTTACTTAACTTGTTTTTATTAACATTATAAGTTACATAACTTGATTCGAAAAAGGGCAAACACAATTTTGTTTTGTCCAGTTTTTTTGAGTTAAAATAAACAAAAGTCAAAAAGTTGACAGTATTGCGTTTCTCCATTTTTAGACCGAAATTTTACATGATTTGAATATTTGAATAATTTGATTACTTGAAAATTAAAATCATTACCTATAAGTCTCATTCGTCGTTGTCGAATTAATTGAGCATATATTATACAACATAGGTATACATAATATCGAATTATGAGCGTTCATTTGAAGAAGCTTCAATATTGTAACGTATTATCCTAATCTTGATTAGAATAAAATAAAGTATGCGTGGATTTGACTTTATTTTGATGGATTATATATACAGCAGATAAACCTAATCCTGGAATCTAAAATAAAATAATGATAATAACAATAATAATGTAATATAATGCTATTTAGAATATTCATTGCTAACGTAATGTTTTCTATTCAGTGAGCAGCCAAACCATGCGTGTTATACAAAAAAGATTGGGATAGAATAGAACATATAAACATAAAAAAAAAGGATAATTTGAAGATTTATTAAGCTTCAATTTGTTTCTAAAACATCCTCCTTTCCGAAATATTTAATGCACTTTTTTTAATATTTGAATTTCGGTTGCTTTTATAAAAGAAATTTTCAATTTTACAATTATTAAATTTTGTAAATCTTATTTTTAATTTCTAACATGTGTTTGAAAGTAATAAATAATCTTTATTGTATATCTTAATTTTTTTTTTCGTGTGGATCAAGTATATCTTAATTTTTACGTTGATGATATAGTAATGTCAGACTCACTAAAATAACATGTTAATATGATTAAACCCAGATAATATAAAAAAGTAATGAAAAAAAAATATCAACAAGTTTCAAGTTTTCAAGCATTTTTCTATCATTATTAATAAATTTATAAAATATTTATGACTTTGAAAGTTGAAATACTTATAATATCTACCTCTTCAAGTTCATCACACCTGATATGACGACATACATGTTCCAGACAATAACAAAATGTAAAATAAAAACAAATAAACGTGAATTTAGAATTGAAACAAAATTAAGAACTTTTTTAAACATAAAGTCTAAAATTTTAAAATGTAAGTCGTGGGTAAAAATTAAGAAAGGACAAAATTCAATTTAAATTAATTTTTGTTCCCAGTAGAGTTGATCAAAACTTTGCAATTGATTTAAATTACTCGGTCGTTCAACTATTTAGATTTTTTTAACCTGTCATTAAACTTACAGCATTTAATTAAATCTTATCATATAATTTTTTGACAGAATCTTTAAAGATTTTAAAGTTGTCATAAATTATTAGTTCCTTACAATTTTAAACTATGAAAATTAGTGTCAACTCTAAATTTTTCAGAAAAATTCAACAGATTTCTAATTTAGGAAATTATTTATTTTCTTAAAAATAGTCCATGATCATCTTAATGGTTAACCTTTTTTGTATTTTTTATCCATTAAATGTCTTGTCGATATTCTTTTACTTACAAACCCAAGTTGTCTGTTTTCTTGTGTGTTGGTTGTAGTTTGCGTCGTATATCGTATGATTATCGTTGTCTCGTAGTGATAATCGTAGGTATGGTGATAATCTCGTCATGGGAAAAAACGCAATACGCAACGCAACGCATCGTTTCTGTTACGGCATTCCTTACCTCACCCACCGCAACACCCAAACACCAAAACCCAACCACACTCTCCTCAACTCATATATCTCTCAAAAGCTTCAAACTTTCGGACACAAAACATCAAAAAGCTTAGCCCTACTTCTTCTTCTCTCAATTCATCACTTCTCTATCTTGGTTTTCCTTTTTTTTAGGTGGGGATTAGGATAAGGGTCTTCTTCATCTCAAATTTGATCACTTCTCTCTCTTTCTGTGACCCTCTTCAGTTTTTCTCTTTCTTCTCTGCTTCAGCTTTCCACAAAGTAAAGCCAAAGAGGGAAAGATGGCAATGATTCCGTACCAACTTTCCCGTTTACCTTACCACGATTCCCTCAAAGTACTTGAAGCTGATATACAGCACGCTAATGCTTTGTGAGTCTAATATTTCCCCTACCCTTTAAATTTTTTTCATCAATTTATGAACTTTCCTTTGTATATGTGTGTTTTGGGTACTGGGAAAGAAGTGGGTGTGGGGATGGTCTTCTCGGTACTGTTGATTATCACCTTTAATTGCTTTCAAGTATGTTAATTTTATAAAAGGAACAGGATCAAGTATTGATAGGGTCATTGAATTTGTTGCTCATGATAGGAATTTGTTTGTCACTGGTGAATTTGATTGTGTTATTTTTTTTTTGTTGCCCCCCTTCTGAATTTGGATTGTGTGTTGTGCTGCCCTCTTCTAGGGCTGCTGCAATTCCCAGAGCCAAGGGTGGGACTGTTCTTCAAATGAAATTGGTTTACAATCAGTTGGCTCCTCTCTTCCTGTTATTTCTACAATGGATGGATTGTTCTTGTGCAGGCTTTCTCCATAGGTATCTCAACCTCTTCCACATAATTATATACAAGGTATCCTTCATCTATCTATCTCTCTCTGTTGATCCTTTTATGTTTTACGGTTTTGGACACTTTGGTATATGATACCCATGTTTCATGTTTTTTCTCTTGATGTTGTTGCTCTATAATTTACCAAAGGTACACAATGATGGTAGATCAAACATGTCTACCCATGGAAGGAAGGCTACCATTGGGGACTTTTATGGTGCGTGAATATTTGACTTTAAAGAAGAAAAAAACCATTTTTATTTTTTAATATTTTTCTTTAATCAAAAGTATAATCCGTTTGTGGCTGTCATCCATTGGTGACTATTCCTCACATTATTTATGTTATCACAAATTGAACTTTCAGCCGTTATATTGCCATCTCTCCAAAGGCTTCATGGTAGTTTGGAGAAGTTGGAGGCTGTTGAAGCAGGAGAATCAAGCATAGAAGGTTCAAGTCATGGCAATAAGTTGATTGAAGCAAGTGGGAGACTAACCAATATTGATTTGCAAAGAGAAGATGAATGTGGAATTTGCTTAGAGCCTTGCACCAAAATGGTTTTACCTGGTTGCTGCCATGCCATGTGTATCAAATGCTACCGCAAGTGGTAATCAAAATATTTGTCTCATATCCCATATGATCAAGTTTCAATTTTTATGTCATTTCCAATGGTTTATCATTTTTGACGGTTGTGCTGCTGGACTTGTTCAATTGCAGGAACAGAAAATCAGAGTCTTGTCCTTTTTGTCGTGGCAGTTTGAGGAGAGTTAATTCAGAGGATCTATGGGTGCTAACTTGTGACGATGATGTTGTTGATGCAGAAACAGTTTCTAAAGAGGATTTATTGCGTTTTTACCTCTATATCAGCAAGCTGCCAAAAGATCACCCAGATGCACTTTTCCTAATGTATTATGAATACCTCATTTAATTTTCCATTGAATAAGAACAAAAAGGAAAAAAATGTACAGATAGTCAATTCCGGAATACAAATGTGAATAGAGTCTGGAAAGAAAATACTCTGGTAATGTAATCACAGTTGTTCTGGTAAGAGATATTTCTGGTTTTTTGGCCCAGAAAAACCATTCTTCTTACTTCTGTGATGTATCTCCATTGTAGACATTGTTCTTGCAATTAACCTGGAATTCCTTGTATGAAGGATCCATTAAGTTAAATATTCTTGTATGTTACTTGTTGCCACAGACTGATGTTGAGAAAATGATTCTGTTGTGACTGTAATGTATGTTGGAAATGTAAACATTTGGAAAATCATAAGGTTCTCTAAAATATAAATGAGGGCAAAGTTTCTGTTAAGTTTCTCTAAAATTTATAAGGTTCCATTTTAGTTTTTATTATTTTATATTTTTAGTTTCTCTAATCTCAAAATGGATTTCTCTAGTCTATTATTAGAAGAGATAAAAATATATTAAGAATGGATAGAAGGAATCCCAAAGATATAACCTAAAATTTGATGATTATAAAAGAATACAGAACTATTTATTTATTGATTGAACCGTGTGAATCAGCCAAATGGATTTCTTTTATATAATTCAAAATAAATTTAATTAAGTTTCAACACTATTCTAAATTTTGATATTTGTAACATAATTCTTATTAAATTTTTAGTTTATTAAGTATTTTTATAAAATTATATTTTTTAAATGAATTTTTATCGTTTAATTAATTTCTGTTATTCATTTGATGTAGTTGTTATTTTTGTTTATTTATCTTACTTATTACTAAATATGAAGTTTTCTACTTAATACAGAATTNCTCAACAACATGGAATCATTGACAGAACTGTAAGTAAATCGATCACCTTCAGAATAGAATTTTTTTCTTTTAGATATTGTTTCTTTTGTAATTCATTTTGTTTTCTTAGGTGGTTAGACGGGAACTTGCTTACAGGACAACTTCCTGACATGAGCAATCTTGTCAATCTAAAGATTGTGTAAGTTCTTTAGTTTCACTTATAAAATCTTCTATGAAAAGGTTGTGGTGGAATCAATATGTAGGAAAACACCATTCTATGTTTCCCTTTTCTTATTTTCAATTTCTCAACTACTGACATGCAGGCATCTGGAGAACAACAGATTGACAGGTCCCTTACCATCTTACTTGGGTAGTTTACCAAGTTTACAAGCACTGTATGCAGCACTTGATCATCCATGTTTATCATCTATACTTTGGGAATTTGAAGCATTTTCCTAGTAACATAATTTTACCCTTCAGACACTTATTATAATCATTCTCATCTCTGGCAGGTTCATACAGAATAACTCTTTTAGTGGGGTAATACCATCAGGTTTACTGTCAGGCAAAATCATTTTCAAGTGAGTACCCACATCAAAAACATTTCTTTTCTAGTTTTAGGTCAATTTAAGTGAAGATGCTAGACACCCAATTGAATTTGAATAAATATGGTAGGACGAGGATCCTTTTTATGCCTTTAATATCGAGATTGAAGTAACCGATATTTATTTTTTCTGCAAGCTTTGATGATAATCCTGAACTGCATAAAGGGAACAAGAAGCATTTTCAGTTGATGCTAGGAATTTCTATTGGAGTACTAGGGATTCTATTAATATTATTCTTAGCAAGTTTGGTTCTATTGCTTAATCTGCGGAGAAAAACTTCTCGACAGAAACGAGATGAAAAGGGTTAGCGCACCAAGCCGAATTTGATACTTGTAAATTGAAAAATATGAAGTTCTACCATAAAAACAATCTTGTGCCTTACAGGTATTTCTGGGCGCAGCAGTACTAAACCTTTAACTGGATACTCATTTGGTCGAGGTGGAAATTTAATGGATGAAGGTACTGCTTGCTATATTACACTCTCTGAGTTGAAAGAAGCTACTAATAATTTCTCAAAGAAAATTGGCAAAGGAAGCTTTGGATCTGTCTACTATGGGAAAATGAGTGATGGAAAAGAGGTGGCAGTTAAGACTATGACCGATCCATCAAGCTATGGGAACCAGCAATTTGTAAATGAGGTAGCATTTCCGTAATTGAATTCTGAATGAGGCTTGGTTCAGTATAGTCAGTCAATCAGTATCATTCTATAGATTTTTGGCTGCATTCATTCAAAAGGATCGTGATCCTTGAATTTCATAAACACAGCATTCTTAATGTTAAAGATACAACGATATCAATTCTCAAACAACTTAAAAATTGCACTATAAAACCTTCTCAACTCCATCTCATGTCTAACTCCAGAAGACTTACTTTCGAACATGAGTTTCCAAAATAACTGACGAGAATGAGAACAGCTTAATTTTCATCCCATTGATTGTAGAGTCACAAATGCAGGTAGCCCTCTTATCAAGAATTCATCACAGAAACTTGGTTCCTCTGATTGGATATTGTGAAGAAGAATATCAGCATATGCTGGTTTACGAGTATATGCACAATGGCACTTTAAGGGAGTACATTCACGGTCTAATTCCACACCCTGATGCTCATTTACTTACCTAGTTGTAAAAACTGTGATCTGATATAAATTATAATGCTCTGACAGAATGTTCGAACCAGAAGCAATTGGATTGGTTAGCTCGCCTTCGAATTGCAGAAGATGCAGCTAGAGGTTGATTAATGGCTAGCTTATTGGTCGCTCCACAAGTAATTTTATCTTTTCACTTCCAAGTTAACAGTTAAAGAGCCATTTTCTATTTCTGTAGGTCTTGAATACTTACACACAGGATGCAATCCAAGTATCATTCACCGTGATGTGAAGACAAGCAATATTCTCCTAGACATCAATATGAGAGCAAAAGTGTCAGATTTTGGACTTTCAAGACTCGCTGAAGAAGATTTAACACACATATCAAGTGTTGCAAGGGGAACTGTAGGTTATCTGGATCCTGAGTAAGCCATGGTTCTCACGTGTCTATGTTCAACAAAACATCATTTCTACTTAAAACACTGAGCTCAGGTTTTTTACCCCTCAACAGGTACTACGCAAATCAGCAATTGACTGAAAAAAGTGACGTGTATAGTTTTGGAGTCGTTATGTTGGAACTGATATCAGGAAAAAAACCTGTATCCTCAGAAGACTATGGTCCTGAAATGAACATCGTTCACTGGGTATGTTATCCTTTTCTCAACAATCCAAAGTCAAAAAATAGCTTCCACAAAGTTTGCCACACCAGAAGCTGAAACATAAACATGTGCAACAATTAAATGTGATCAAGAATCAACTAGTTTTGGTTAAATACAATCCCTAACTTTAAAAAGTTTGTAGTTCTATTGGAAGAAAATGTTCTTTCAGCTGAATTAGCAAACACTTATCTGATGTGGGGTGAGTCGTATTTTCTTAGTTTACCACATGTCATAAAGTTAATCAAATTAGTACAGTAAATTCATATATAACAGTGAAAAACTTGGTCCAACGAAATTATTTCAAGGGATCAAAGTGAAAAGGTTATGACTTGAGAGAATAAACTAAGACCAAAGAATAAGATTATGGAACAAAAGTTCATTTTAGGCATTAATTTTTGTAGAAAGTACCTCTTTGAATACTTTGATGGCAGCCCCACATGCAAATTTACGTGTTTTGCAGGTAAGATCCTTAATTCGTAAANTAATGAACAATTTGTTTTTAGTAATAATTCATTTAAAAAATACCTAAATTTATGAAAGTGAAAGAATTCGAACTTAATTAATTAAAGCCTTCAAAATATAATATCACAGGTAAGTGTAAGTTTCAATTTCAACATGGAGCCTACAAACAGTTATTTTGAAAGTAATATTTTTTTTTCCTTTCATTATTTTGTGTACTGAAATTTAAAAGCATGTACTAAAAATTAGGAAAATACATTTTCCACCTTTATTAAGATAACCTAAACTGCCAGCATAGGTTGAGTTGTATAAAGACAAAGTACTGTAACTGATCATATATCTTTGATATTATGTCTGATTCATGAATTAATCATCTTTAAAAGCTTAAGCATTTAGGTGGGGGAAATATCTGAATGCTTTTACATGTAGTGACGTGTGGTCTTTGAAATTTTCGTACAGAAGTTTGAATTGACATTTATGTTTTGCATTGATACAACTTTTTTTTCTTTCAATTCTACCACATTTAATATTAGTCTTGGTGTAAGGTGGAATATGGTATAACTTTTCATATAGACTTTTTATGCAAATTAGTAGTTCCTTGATTTTCTAGGGTTCAAATTAATCTATAATTTATAATGATCGTAATAGAATGTATATGAATATGATAGGAAGGTTTACATCGTGAGTTTAAGTATAAATAAATTAGCTATCAAGTTTGATATATTTGACATGGGAGCTAACCCTTTTATCATTATTAATTAAAGGTGACTTAATGTCTTATTATTATTATATGATATAATTGAATTATAGGTTTATTTATCAAAATGGGTCATTTTTCTTTTTAAACTTAAAAGTATTTGGATCGTTTTGTAAATTTATTATACATATGTGTTAAGTTGTATAAGGTTGATAATTTTATTTGAAAAAGTGATAAATAGTATGGATGATTCTTGATTACATTGAAGTTTGTATGTAATTTTAGTGACTTCGATAAGATGAAACTTAATTAATCACCATTTAAAATTTAAGTAAAAGTTGTAAATAATGACTTTAACTTGAAGTTGTACATGAGAATGACGACTGTAACAAATAAATTTTAAATTGAAATCATGTATAGGGTGGAAGACTTTAATGCAAACGATTTTGAATGAAATATCCACTTCATTATACATGTGATTTGAGCATGGAATGTAGCTCGAGAGCGAAACACAATCAAGAGGAGAACTTGTAAGAAGGTTGAGTAGCATGTGAAATTGAACAAGAAGGACAAGTACAAAGATAATTCGACAAGACAGTTACATAACGTTGAGAGGTCGGCAAGGTGCATTATGATAGACCAGTGATGCATTTCAATAGCCCGGTAAGGTACATGAAGAACTTAGATGGTTTGGCAGAAAATCCATATAACTTGGTAAAATGTATAGAGAACTATATGGCTCAGCGAAAAGTTCAAATAACTTGACAATGTGCATACAAAAATTTGATAACTTGGTGTGAAGTCCATATAACTCAGTAAGATGCATGGAGAACTCAAATAGCTTAATAAGATGCATGTACTCTTGAAGTGAGTGATATAATATGTATCTTACCGAGCTATTTGGACTTTCCACCAAGTTATATGAGTTATTCGTGCATCTTATAGAGATATCTAAACTTCTTATTGAGCTGAGTTTTCCATGCACCTTACTAAGACATATGAACTTGTTGTTGAGCTATTTAAGTTCTTCATATTCCTTACTAGACACATGAACTTCTTGTTGAAAAATATAGATTCTTAATACACCTTATGTAGACATCTAGACTTCTTGAAGAGTTATTTGAGTTTTTTTTATGTATCTTATCGAATTATTGGAATGCATCACTAATTTATCTAAATATCTTTCCAACCTTTTAGTGCTACTTAATAATCGTGTCAAGTTATTTCTTATTAAATTTATCGTGCTACCTAACCTTTTTATAAAGTTTTTCTTTTTCTAGTGCTTGACTCTCATGTCATGTCATCTTTCATACACTAACATGTATATGTTGAGATTATAATGTAATATATGTTTAAAATTTATTTATGCTAAAGTTGGGATTTTTATATTCAACTTCAGTTCAAATAAATTTAAAAAGTGAGACACGTAAATTTGAAAAAAAATTGACCCCTTTGTACATAAACCTTGAATTGGTATATTGTATGCTAATTAATTTTCAAGAAGTATTATTGCATACCGGTCAATCCAATCCATTGAGAGCAGAGACAAAACCACTTACAGAAAATCGAAAATAAAAATAATAAACAATAAAGACAGCGAAAAGTCAAAAGAAAGTGTGTGACAATAAATGTCAGGGGAACAAACACAGCCTTGCCCAACTAAACTTTTGTTTATTTTACACTTAAAATTAATTAACAGTTACCGTTATGAATGTATTGAATTTGGATTTTAATTTTTTTTACAAGTATTATCACTACCATTATATAACTTGGAACTTTTTCTGGATTTGTTTATTTTATTTTCTATTCTTTGCTAAATTTTGTTTAATATAACTAACCATTATGTCAGTGGTGAATTTAAGTAATTCATTTCTAAATTTTGTTTAATATAACTATAACCTTTATGGCAGTGGTGTTTATGTAATTTTAATTGAATTTTTATTAAAAAAACTATATTCTTTAATTTAGTTATTATGAATTGATTTTGTTGACAAGTTGAGTAATGTGACTCTTATTGAAAAAAAAAATGGATATTTTTATTAAATATTGTAAAAAATTTCTGTTTCATCGAGTGTTTAAGCTTTTTATATCATGTTAATTGAATAACCATTGATAGTACTGGGGTGAGATAAGTGTTTATTTTTGTAATTTTAAGTAAGACATTGTGAATTTGGACACTGAAGAAATAAAGTTTGAAAATCATAATTATCTTCATAAAAGAGTAGCATATTTTTTTTAAATTTAATACTTAAACAAAAATTAATTTAATCATGAGGAGATAAGAAATAAAAAAATTTGGTAAAAAAAATTAAAATTTCGGTACTTCATTTATTTTTATTGTTTTAGTTTGTAATGTTTTATTTAAAGCTTTAAAATGAAACTCAGTTAAAAACTGTGACATTTTTGGACAATTGAAAAGTTTTTTTTCATAAAAACTTAATAATATTTAAACTTAGAACTTAAATAAACCGTCTTTTTATTTTTCATACAAAAATACGTAAATAATAATCAAACAATTAATATTTAATTTAAAAATATAAAAAAATTAAACATTCAATAAAATAAATATCTTTTAACAAAAACTGCAAAAAACCAAATTTACAATTGTTTTAATTTTTTATTTATTATTTAATTTCTTATCTTTCTATTAATGCAAAAAGATTTAGCAAATTTCTCTCCCGAGGTGTGTTTGAGGTGAATTTAGGATAATACTTCGTCTTAATAGTATCACGTCCCAACTAATTATTTATTTAATAAAAAATAAAAATATTTATTTACTTTACTTTATTTCTTATTGTTAGTTCTTATAATTTAAACTTTTTCCAAAACTATTTTAAAACTTATAAATCTGCAATTTCCTTAAAAAAATCTTACTACATAAACTCATTGAAGTGTAATTACAAAATGTTAGTTATAAAAAATATATTAAAAAAATCTAATCAATCATATATTTTTTTAAATGAAAAAAATTGTTGTGTCTTAAAACAATCTTTAAAATCCCACCAACACAGGTAAATTATAATTTTGAAAAAAAAAAGTAATTTGTAAACGAAAAAAATTATAATTTATAGAAAATTACAAAGTGACGTATCAGCTCTTCCGCATCCAAATGACGTCGTTTTTGAGTACCAAAGAAATAGGACAGAAAGGTCAACGACGAGTCTGACAACGTTACCGTTTACCACAGACACAGACCAGTTTCAGGATCTGTAGTAGTACCAATAATCCAAAACTATAATAATAACCAAATAAAAATTAATAAAATAAAATCTGCTTTTAAATTTTATTATTTTTCTTAGAATCCGAAATTCGTCGTCTTAACAGGTATGCATTTACAGTTTGATTGGCTTTCACTCTGCTATTTCAGGTTTTCCAAGTCAATTTCATTTTAGGGTTTCATATATCAAAATAAATGTTCAAGCTCATTTGCTGTTTGATTAAATTAATTTGAATTTGTATTTAATTGGTTTTATTTTTGTTTGAGTTATCGTTTGTGCATTTTTTTTTTTGAAGGAAATAGAAATTGCAGATCCGAATCTCGTTTGGGAGTGAGGAATTTGAATGTTGAGATGTCTGAGAATCACGTAGCGGAGCTGGTTCCGGAAGCGGATTCGGATTCAGGGGGTGGTGTGGGGCACGAGCAATCAAATGTGGATAACGAATCAAACACTGGTACAAATCAAGACCAGGTACTTATTGGTTACCAATTGTTTATTATTCAAGCTACGAAAATTGGGCAATGCGGAGCACTGATGCTTTTCGATTAATGTGAGTGAAGCAGGGAGAGCGTGTTGATCATGGAGAACCTGATGATGAGAAGTCTGCAGAGGATACTGCCAGGGATGACATGTTTGTTGATTGTCCCGATGAGTTAACCGGGCAAAAGGATGAAGAAGTTTCAACTGAGAAGAATGAAGATGACGGAACGGAGGAAAATGAAGTTATGCATCACCAGCAGAGACATTCTGTTGAAATGGGCAATGGAGTCGGGGATTCTCACTCCCCAGATCAGCTGGAGAAAACTGATGCTGAGAAAGAACGGATTGTGCAGGAATACCAGGTTTGTCGTTTGTATTAATTTGAGAGTGGTTTTAGCTTGCACAGAATGAATTTTGATGTGAAGTACTCATTATTTCTTTTTTGAGTTGAGCAGGAAGAAAGACAAACTGTTACACAGGGAGTGCTTGATCTTCATTGTCAGCTAAAGACTCTCAACAATGGCAAAGAGAATGGAACTGAAGTTGGAGATAGGGACGTGAGTGAGTTTCCGTTGAGGGAGATGATAAAAGAATGTTTGGAATTTGTGAACACTGCTTCAGAAGAACGGTCAAACAGTGAAACCACTATAAGTAATCTTCGGGAACATCTGTCTA